TCAACCCATCAATCAGCCAATCAATTCATCTATCAGTCAACCCATCAATCAGTCAACCCATCAATCAATCAGTCAACCCATCAATCAGTCAATCAATTCATCTATCAGTCAACCCATCAATCAGTAAATCCATCAATCAGTCAATCAATTCATCTATCAGTCAACCCATCAATCAGTCAACCCATCAATCAGTAAATCCATCAATCAGTCAATCAATTCATCTATCAGTCAACCCATCAATCAGTCAACCCATCAATCAGTCAATCCATCAATCAGTCAACCCATTCATCAATCAGTGTGYGTTACAAGCAATTTTTATACCATACTTTATCTTCTATCATTTTCAGTAAGTAATTCAAAGATTTCTGCTCTTGACCAAGAGAGTTAACCAGAATTGATTCTCTAAGTTTCTGTGAGAGGTTCACAGCTTTAGTCTTTGTCTCCATAGACTTCTTTCCATCTACAAATGAATGCTTGTTATTTTAACAACAATCAATTAATGCTGTACAGGAATATCTATAAAACATAGAGGATATTACATGGGAACACGGAGATACAGATTTTATCTTTGAGTAGTGAAAATTGATATTTTCACTAGTGAAAATATCAATTGTGAAAATATCAATTTTATGAAATGGAGAAATCTGTATTTCATAGATAATTTTATGATAAAATAGTTTTATTAAAAACAAGAATTAATTGTAGCATTGTTCAGATATCTCACACATTAATATACTATATTTGGATGTCTAAGTAGAATAAAGAGTTACTGCATAATGCGTCGCTAAGATTGAAAAACTGGTTACCTCTTAGTTTATTTCCTTCCTCTAATATTCTACCGGCAAGTTGAAAAAGATCATTAAAGTACAGTATCCCATTGAGTTTAATGTACCACCTACATGAAAAAAATACATTTTAATAACTTTAATTTCAATAATTTGATCATTAATCAGTCAATCAGTTCACCAGTCACAGATGTGTAAAAAGATAAATTTAACACCGTAAAAAAAAGTATGTGAAATAACTTAATGACGTTTCGGATGTTAATCCTTGGTCGGAGCAAAGAGATGGTCGTTTACTCCGACGAAGAATTAACATCCGAAACGTCAGTACATTATTTCACATCCTTTTTTACGGTGTTAAACTTATCTTCTTTACACAACTGTTTCTCTAGAAACACCGACACAGCTCACACTAGTTTACCGCTAGTTCCCACCAGTCCATCAGTTAGTCAATCAATTAATCATCTGGTCACCAATTCGTCGATCAGTCTGCCAATCACTCACTCTTACAATAATTTTAAGTAAAACCTACTTCTCCATAGTCTCCAAAGGTATCAGAAGACTCCCAGTCTTAGGTAAGATATTGMCAACAAGAGTGTTGATCTCTGGAGCCAAGATCCTGTCTTGTAAATCAGGATTTACTAGTAGTGATAGACAAACCCATTCAAGCTTCTACAGTGTGATGAAATAC